TTGTTTCATTGCAGCACAGAAATAATGGCCTGTTCTTATGCAGTGGTCTGTTCTTATGCTGGCCACTCCGTGCTGCCCAGTCCTAACCTGCCAATGAACATTAGTTACTGTTTTTATTCTTCTGTTGGTTATCACCCATGGAAACCATTTGCTTTGCTGAGAAACCACAGCAGCTACCTAACGCTGGTATGCAGCTAAGATTTCTCGATATAGCCTTCATGGAGAGGAGGGGTTGGACCAGTAGTTGTTTACTCGAGCCTTGGATTAGTATGACATAACTGGGTCTCAAATCTATTTTGTTCGTGGGAGATGAGATGAAACAGTGAAATCTGCTATTATTGAATGCTTCTTGCTCTATTCTGACTCTCGCGTTTCCCCAAAGCCAGTAGCTTTCTCTGTATGATAAAAGGGCCCAGGCAGAGGAGGTGGGATGCTTTCACTGGCAAGCTGCAGATAAAGGTGGCACTAATAGGGAGCTGCAGACAAGCGTATTTCTGCCTTTAGGTTAGCTGCTACCATCTCAAAACTTATTAAATGCTCTAAGGAGTCATTTGGGGGTGGGGGGAATTCCATCATGTACCGAGTAATTAAGACAAAGTTCTGCCCTCACATACCAGGAAACTATGAAATCTCTGTAATAATTTCAGTTTGGAAGGAGATGCACTTTGTTCATGCTTTACGTTATCTGTTCTAAACCTTAGACTTGGCTTTAAATGTGTGCAGGTTGTGGGTCACAGCCTTATCAATTCACTGAAATTCACTGAAACAGCCTAGTTCCCATTGGAGGCTGTGAGGCCAGATGTCCTTAAACACAGTTACTCAAGTTTCATAGGGATGTTTTCGGGCTTGTTCGTTTACTGATTCTCTCTTGATGTTGAATGTAGTTGACTAGTGTCATGGTAGGCTTTCACTTTGATTCAAAACAGCATTTGGGAAGGAAGAGGCTGTTCACTGGAAGAGGGTGGCGTCTGCTGGGTTCCCCATTTGCAGTATCAGCTGACTTTTTAAGCTCACCGAAGGTCAAAAGTGAACCAGTTCTGGGGAATTCAGAATGCCTCCTGCTTAATCCCCCTTTCCCCTCTCCTGTGCCTCTGATCTCATTTACCCTCTTCCTTGAGTCACAGGTTGGTAACCTGTAGCCATTGGGCCTCATGTAGCTCCAACCTTATTTTATGCAGTTCCCAGTGCTGGAAGCTGCCATTATCTTCCATCCCATTAGTCTTCCTTCCTACCTACTCATCACTTCCCTTTCTTGCCACTAATTTGTGTGTGTGCGTGTAGCACACTAAAGTCAGAAATTATGCGCTTTCAAAAACAGTAGGTGCGTTGTACACACACACAATCCTCTACATACTTCTACAATAACAACACCATTAAATGCAGTAGGTTTGTTTCTGTGTAGGACTAGGAATTCCAATCTGAAGAAGCCGTGATTATCTTGAACCCAGAACACTTTCGTTTACCAACCTTCAACAAGATTTGTCCCTACAGGACTGTGGACCTTGGCCGGGACAAAAGTTTGTGTTACCCCCATGTGCCCTTACATCTTCCACTATGTTCTGGTCATATTTCATTTCAGCTTCAAGGTTCACTTTTGAGTCTTTTGTGATTCCCCTGAGCATTGTGCAAAAGATGGTGGCCTGCTTTGAAACAGCACCATGTCTGGGAGTTAATGTGACGGGTATGTAAGTAAGTATACATGTATTGCCCTTTTTGTGAGTAGGCTGTGTCCTCCAAGGAAAAGTTTCCCTGACCCTCAGTGCACCTGTGCTTGAGATCACTGGAGAGTAGGAGACTCTTGGCAGCGGCACAGAATGAATGCTGAAAATAGGTGATGGTATCGTACATACAAAACAAATCTTCTGTAGGGATTTTTTTTCCATTTGAGTTTCCATGGAAGACAAGCTGAGGGAACAAAGGTGGAACTAGACTTCTCTTTGAATTTACATGGCTGGCGCCAATAGATATTTGTGAGCTTTAGACATGTGGATGGGGACTCAGTCAAGGCCAGAAAGAGTCCCTTGTATCTTGGTTAAATCAGGTGCAAGTCCTTAATTGAAGTTAAGGAACTTTCTTCTGTCCAGGAACTTAAAAGTATTGCAGTCCTGTCACTTTCAAATGCTGGTGCCTGTTTCATCATGGCAAGGAGAAGGAAGCTTTGAAGCCGGGAGGACTTAATTTTGTTTGGAAGGTGTTATTTTTAGATCCAAGGCGACCTCAAAACATCAGTTTGTCTGTCATCCTCCCTTTCTTACAAGTTGTTTGCCTGCTAGAGTGCATTGCAATAAAATAATGGCTTAACGGCAGGGATGGCGAACCTGTGAGACTACAGATGTTGTCCTATTAGCACCCAGCCAGCATGGGCAATGGGCCAATTGTATATGCTTATGCAAGTTAGACTAGCATATACAACTAGATTAATGCACTTGAATCTGAATTGAAACTTAGTTCACAGGTTAAGAACAAGAATTGGTAGCGTTACTTTATGCTTCTGCAAACTTCAATAAATCATGTACGGCCCCTAATTTAATTTATTCTTGCTTCATAAGGAAGGGATATGGATGTTAAGAAGGCAGTGAGTACCGGGGGGCAGGGGAACAATGATGAGACAGCACCCGAACCCAGTGATGGCCAAACCTGGCCCTCCAGCTGTTTTGGGACTACAGTTCCCATCATCCCTGACCACTGGTTCTGTTAGCTAGGGATGATGGGAGTTGTAGTCCAAAAAACAGCTGGAGGACCAAGTTTGGCCATCACTGCCTTAGACAGACTTTCTCTAAGAGACATGTTTAGGGTAAATTCATTTATCCCTGTCATGGATGGCCTTGAAGTCAACCTAGACAGAACAGCAACTGTGTATAGGAGTGCAGCTGGCAATTTTCCATTTTTGGTGAACCTGCAAACAGCCAAGGAACAGATTCACAATGGTGTTTGGGATGCTGATGCAAGAGTATCCAAAGGATGCTGAGGTTAGTCTAGTCCATGATCTCTTGCACTCCCACCTGTGCGTTAAACAAGCTTCACCACCAAGATATGTATCAAATAATATTCCTGGAGAAAATTTGGACAGCTTTTCCCAATGTGGAAACAATTTTCAGATTGTTCCTCTGCTTAATGGTCACAAACTGTACTGGCAAAAGATCATTTTCTAGACTAAGAAGGATAAAGAATGATTTACGGTCAACAATGTCCTGAGATTGGTTGTCTGATCTAAGCATGCTCTGCATAGAAAATGATGAACTGCGACTTACTGATTTTAATGATATAATTGATACATTTGCATGCAAAATAACTTGAAAGAAACTGTTCCGACTTTGTATGTAGTGTAATGTTACAGCATAGCTATGATTCCCCTATGAATGTTCTGTGTGAATGTTTTCATTACTTCCATACTTTTGTAAACTTATTAAAGAGTATAAATTTATTTTTAAAAATAGGCTTTTTATCAATGCTAAAATTTCAGCAATCTTCTAGTTTCATTGCATTGATAAAGAAGAGAACAAGATTTTGTTTCTCATGATCATATGCTATTAAGTTTGGGCCTCCCAAGCTATCCTAGCTTAGGACGTCCAGTTGCTTTAATCTAGGCCTGCTGCCACCTCTACATTAAACCATAGTCAGTGGTTAAAGGTAAAGGTAAAGGGACCCCTGACCATGAGGTCCAGTCGTGGCCGACTCTGGGGTTGCGGCGCTCATCTCGCTTTATTGGCCAAGGGAGCCGGCATACAGCTTCCAGGTCATGTGGCCAGCATGACTAAGCCACTTCTGGCGAACCAGAGCAGCGCACGGAAACGCCGTTTACCTTCCCGCCGAAGCGGTACCTATTTATCTACTTGCACTTTGACGTGCTTTCAAACTGCTAGGTGGGCAGGAGCAGGGACCAAGCAACGGGAGCTCACCCCGTGGCGGGGATTCGAACTGCCAACCTTCTGATCAGCAAGTCCTAGGTTCTGTGGTTTAACCCACAGTGCTACCCGCGCCCCTAGTCAGTGGTTAGCAGTGGTTAAATGTGAGTGAGAAGCATATTGGTGCTCACTGCCCGAACGTCCCTACTTTGCTCCTCTGTATTTTTGCTGAGCTGGGAGCAACAAGCAGCTAGCTTTTGGCTTGTGTCATCCAAACTTGTGCTCATGGTTTGATTCCTCAAAACAAAGCACAAATGGTAAGCCAAGAACAAATGTTGTGCATTTGCATTGCCCATAGTTAAATGTTATAGTCTGACATGATATGCAAGGCAGGCCACTTTGTTCTGCAGTACCTTAAAGACTAACAAATCTATTGTGTCATAAGGTTTTATGGGCTAGATGCATGAAGTGAGCTCCTCCAGATTTCAGGCATAAGGGGAAAGGGAAGAGAATGTTGTAAATATTGGGTTCAAAACTGTTCCTTAGAAAGCCAGTTGTTGTTGTTTAGTCGTTTAGTCGTGTCCGACTCTTCGTGACCCCATGGACCAGAGCACGCCAGGCACCTCTGTCCTCCACTACCTCCCACAGTTTGGTCAAACTCATGCTGGTAACCTTGAAAACACTATCCAACCATCTTGTCCTCTGTCGCCCCCTTCTCGTTCTGCCCTTCATCTTTCCCAGCATCAGTGTCTTCTCCAGGGAGTCTTCTCTTCTCATGAGGTGGCCAAAGTACTGGAGCCTCAGCTTCACGATCTGTCCTTCCAGTGAGCACTCAGGGCTGATTTCCTTAAGAATGGATGCGTTTGATCTTCTTGCAGTCCATGGGACTCTCAAGAGTCTCCTCCAGCACCATAATTCAAAAGCATCAATTCTTCGGCGATCAGCCTTCTTTATGGTCCAGCTCTCACTTCCATACATCACTACTGGGAAAACCATGGCTTTAACTATACGGACCTTTGTTGGCAAGGTGACGTCTCTACTTCTCAAGAAGTAAAGAAGAAAGAAGAAAGAGAAAGCCAGTACTGGCAGAAATTGAACAATGCGGACAGGCTGCTTCAATCTACTCTCTCTGTTCCCTCCCCACTTGTTTTTCAGATGAAAGGATCTGTTCTCCACCATTTATGGAGTTGACAAGTGCTTGTGGAGGTGACACGTTGCAGCAAATAGAGAAGAATGGAATTGCATTCCCATTCAGTACGTCAACAGACTTTGCATTTCACCTAATAATAGGCAACTAGAGTATTATCCCCTGAAATGTATTCTGATAATCAGCACATCTCAGAAAAGAAGGTTGAAACAGTACTTGACAGTGGCCCTCAGAACGTTGTCCAGAATAAAATGTGGCCCCTAGGCTGGAAAACGTTCCCCCACCCCTAGACTAATGTGTGTGTCTTTGATTTACTGTGTGTGCTGTACACTACATAGTATGCAGCTCTCACCGAGCATCACAGTGTGGTGCAACAGATTTCCCCATTGTTTGATTCTTTCCGGATTGTATGGAATGATTTTCCAGGATCATTGTGAAAGACTCGGGTCCCTGATTATATTGGTGGCATTGAGAGAACGGTATTCCAAAACTGTGGTGGCCACCATAGAGAAAGTCCCTTTTCCCATGGCCACTCATCTTATAAACCATGTGGGTGGACAAACCAGGAGGGCCCACAAAGCTGATCTTAACGTGTGGCCAGGTTGGGGTGGGCTGCAGGCAGACCAACAAAAAATTTGGGCCCAGTCCACTTAGTGCTTTAAAGGTTAAAACCATCCCTTTGCATTAGGCCCCAAAATGTACCAGCACAGCCTGTTACCAGTGCTGACCCTCTTGCCCCCAGCAGGGCTCTGGTAGTCACAGTGAAGAGTGTTTTGGTTATGTTGTACCCTATTTAGATGACAGGGTGAAAAGCTTCTGCAGAAAATGGAAGAATTTGAATTCATTTTAGCATTTCTCCGTTTTCATTCATGTAGTCTGTAAGACAAGAGTGGCCCATGGAACCAACTCGCATGAGGTGAGTATCTATCTCCATCTTCTGCCTGATGAAAAATTAAAAAGTGCCTTTGTTGGGAGTCCTAGTAGAAAAGGAGGAGAGAAACTGCCCCCATTGGTATTTTTGTTTATATATCTGAAGGAGAAGTAGGGAAGGTTCTTCTCTTTTTTAAAAAAAATCAGATGTCATTGCTAATTGTCTCATAACTCATACTGGGCATCACAGTTAACCGTTTTCTCATTCTGCAAGCCAAATTAATAAACACTTGATACCCAGTTAATGAAATACTATTATTGAAGTGTTCTTCTCCAAATTAACATTAGAGAGTTCCTAATTCTGTTTAGTACAGAGACATTTTTAAAAATTCCAGCCACTAAATGCCAGCCTTTACCTTTAACTACCTGGAAGGTATTCAGCCTCTGCATTGACAGGCATCTATAGAAAGAGAGCTTCATACCTGTGCAGCAACTGATAGGAATGCCTCTTTAGGTCCCCATGTTATCCACATGCAGCTCACACTGATAAAAGGATGCTCTTTGTTGCTCTTGGGTAACCTGGTGGAAAAGTATGGAATAAAGCTTAAGAAGACGTTAATTAAATTCTGAACCCAAATCTTCAGCAAAGCAGTGGCACCAACTTCAGAGATGCAGTGGGCTGGCTGTTGGCTTGCTTTCAAAGAGTTTTCATGTTAAATTATACTTTGTACTTTTAAAGTACAGATCCTCAGGGTCCCTTGCAACTCTACAGTTCTATGATTCCATGATTCTAAAGTTAGCGCAGCAGGTGAGAAGCTAGCTGTCGGCTTGAATAGACAGGGGCAGCAAAGTGTCCCCAACTGCTCAGTACAAAAGAAACCATAACAGTGGCTCAACAGAAGTCGCACAGTCCCTGCCCAGAAAGCTGGATACGGACCATTGGTTCATTGCTGTGTCATGCAAAACTGCTAAAATAAAAGGTTTTATTGTCAGTCCATACTTGTTCATTCAAGGTTTAAAATATTATTTTTGCTTGTCTGAGATCTCTGATAAGCATCTTTGGTTTCTTTCAGTCTCCTTCCCACCCCCCCCCCCCCACCCCCAAACCAAACCCTGCATAAAATAATTCAGAAAGCTGTTTTCTGTGTTGACTCAAACCTCATCTGAATACTAAATGTAAAGGCAGCCAAAGTGGGCTCTTCATCCACTTGACAATTTGCATGACGAACACACCCAAGGTGCAAGGAAGAAGCCGCACCTTCTCCAGACTAATAATAATAATAATAATAATAATAATAATAATAAATTATTATTTATACCCCGCCTATCTGGCTGGCCTTCCCCAGCCACTCTGGGCGGCTTCCAAAAAAATATTAATATACTGTAATACATCAAACATTAAAAGCTTCCCTAAACAGGGCTGCCTTCAGATGTCTTCTAAAAGTCTGGTAGTTGTTGTTGTCTTTGACATCTGGTGGGAGGGCATTCCACAGGAAGGGCGCCACTACTGAGAAGGCCCTCTCCCTGGTTCCCTGTAACTTGGCTTCTCGCAGTGAGGGAACTGCCAGAAGGCCCTCGAAGGTGGACCTCAGTATCCGGGCTCAATTATGTGGGTGGAGACGCTCCTTCAGATATAGTGGACCGAGGCCGTTTAGGGCTTTAAAATGATTAGGACTTAAAAATGATTATGTGCACATCTGTGTTACTGCTGCAGGGAGCCACTGGTACGACAGTGATCCTGTACGCCACATAATGTGCGTTAATTATGCTTCATTGCGAGTCCTTGTTGAGGTAAGAATATGTGCTTTCCCCTCTCTATTTTTCAGATGGCCATCATATTCAACCAGGAAGGCCTGAAAGCTATCCAGCCTCCGTGTGTGATCCAAAGCTTCATCAACCACAACGCCGTCCTATACAAAGTCTTTGTGGTTGGAGAGTCATACACTGTGGTGAAGAGACCGTCTGTGAAGAACTTCTCAGCAGGCATTTCAGGTAAACCTCTGAGAATGGCACTTTTGGTGCAAGCCTGAACGGGAAAGAAATCTTGGTGGCCAAAGGGGAGGTTTCCTCTGAACCTGCCTTCTCAAGAATTGGGCTTTAGGTCATGATGGATAATCATGTTTGTCGTTGTTGTTGTTTTGCAGTAGATGTTCTGCTTTTTCTCATTCTGTTACACGGAATCCAGATGTCTTTGTTTGAAGGGAAGCCTTTGGTTGGAAATGTATCACATTTTTCCAGCACACAGCCCATCATATTGTGTGCGCGCGCATGCATTGCTTTTGCAAGTGTTGTGAGGAGCCACGTGACCTGCTTGTGACATCACTGGTGCCTCCCCCCCAATATTTTTCTTTTCAAAAATGCAACAACAATTTAATTAAAAGCTCCTGTCCTTTTGCAGAAAAGGTACCACCTTCCTGTCCATTATGTTATGATGAAATATTGCAGTGCTCGTTCTGGATTGGCGCAAGTGAAGGGATGATGTAAAATCATCCCAGGACTTCTAAACAAGTTGCAAATATCGCAAAGACACATAAGAGTTCCTGGGTTACACTGCCCCCTGGTGTTTCATTTATCTATTTAAATCCCTTAAGGAGCCAAGAATAATGATTTGAATGCAGAAGGGAGGGTTTTCTGCTGCCTGTACAGCACAGTAATCACCTATAAATCACCAGCTCCAGAGTTCTGTTTTAACGTTTATGCTTTTCTTACTTTTACACGCTGCAGATAGAGAATCGATATTTTTCAACAGCCACAACGTATCAAAGCCAGAATCCTCTTCAGTCCTAACAGCAGTAAGTATAACAAGGCCTATTTCTGAATACAGTGACTCAAGCAACAAAACAGATCTCAAGGCCCCTTTTTGCAACCATCTCTCCATTCCAAAGCCATTCTTTCCTGGTTTATTCTAGGAATGGTTGCTGCTACAGCAAAGTTGCAAATCAAATTCATCCAAGAAAGCCTCTTGAAATGTTTTAATTGCACCTTTTATGTCACAGAAAGGGACGCGGGTGGCGCTGTGGGTAAAAGCCTCAGCGCCTAGGACTTGCCGATCACATGGTCGGCGGTTCGAATCCCCGCGGCGGGGTGCGCTCCCGTTGCTCGGTCCCAGCGCCTGCCAACCTAGCAGTTCGAAAGCACCCCCAGGTGCAAGTAGATAAATAGGGACCGCTTACTCGCGGGAAGGTAAACAGCGTTTCCGTGTGTGCTGCGCTGGCTCGCCAGAGCAGCTTTGTCACGCTGGCCACGTGACCCGGAAGTGTCTGCAGACAGCGCTGGCTCCCAGCCTCTAGAGTGAGATGAGCGCACAACCCTAGAGTCTGTCAAGACTGGCCCGTACGGGCAGGGGTACCTTTACCTTTTATGTCACAGAAATGTAGGAAACTTACTTTATACAAAGTCAGACTGTTGTTTGCTGTGACTGGCAGTGGCCGCCAGAGTCTTGGGCGAAGGACTTTCAGCACGTGATAGTTATTCGTCTTCCTTTTTATAACTAAATGGAAATGCCATGGATTGGGGTTTTCTGCATGTGATGCATGCACTGTGGTTGCCCCCCCCCAAAAAAAATCAGGGTGCTGGACACGTAGTAATTCGCCACAGCACTCCTGAGAAGTGGACTGAAGGGGATTAATGGAGAATGGGTTACAGTGCAACAAAGTGTTTTCCTGACACTTGATGTAATAATGCAGTCCTTTTGAATTAATAAAAAGGAAACAGTAAACAGTGGAGCAATTTGAGCAGTGCACCTCAGCTCTGAGAAGTTTAAGGTCCACTCCCTCTGCAGTCACTTATGGGAGGATAAATGTACAGCGGAACCTCGGTTGTCAAACGTAATCTGTTCTGGAAGACCATTTGACTTCCGAAACCTTCGACAACCGAGGCGCAATGGGTGATCGGCGAATTCCATTGAGAAAATGGAGGAACGCGCCTTAGAAGCCATTCGACTTCCGAGGCGCATTTGAAAACAGAAGCATTCACTCCTGGGTTTTCGGCGTTCGGGTTCTGAATCGTTCAGCTTCCAAGATGCTCGAAAACCGAGGTTCCCCTGTATTTGTGTTTTTCTCCTAGTCCGTAAGACCCCTTCTTGATTAGTCACTTTTGTGTCCTAGATATCCGATGTGGCTTGCACTGGCTGCGCAGTAGGAAATGGGACAAAAGAGTGAATTAGTTGGTCCCACTGCCCTAAACTCCAGTTGTAAGGCTAGCCAGTGTGGTTTCACTTGGCTATGACTCCCAGCCTCCCTGACCATTGCTGTCCTGGCTGAGCCTGCTGAGAGCTGAAGTCCAACAACATCTGGAGTGCAACTTGGTGTCTATCATTACTCTATTCAGCAGCCATGTGGCCGCTAGAGGTGAAGTGAGACTTGCCGCCACTGTGCCGCCCGCTTCTGTCCTAGCACCCTGCTGCCATGGTGCAAAAAGACAGACATTGCTTGCTCACTGGTTCTTCATCTTCCTCTCCTTGCCCCAGCAGCCCCTCAAAATCTTCTTCAGGGGTTTTGGGGCAGACTTTTAGGGCATACAAGAATTTGTAGGAGGGAGAAGAAATCTGTTGGATACAGCTTGTTGGTTGATCTTGTACTCAGAAGTCATTTAAAATAAGGGTGTATTAGTAGTTGTTGTTTTCCCTTGAAGTGCTAATGGCCTAGGTGCATGTTTACCACTTAAAGCACTACACCTGAACCTTTAGAAAAGTTACATGAGTAACTAAGTCCATTGTAACTTTTCCATGAGTGCGTGGCTTTGAGGTCATCTTATGAGCATCAGTTAACCTCCCTCCTCTAAAGTCTCATAACGGAAAGCAATATATAATGCAGTTACCATAGAGTATTAAAAAAATACACTCTTCCATGGCTGTCATTAATCAGTGATTAAAAAATAAAAAAAATCTGCCAGCAGTAAAATAGGAAACTGTCTTGGAGACAAAACACACACTCCAGTTTTTAAACTTTCTCTCTCTCTCTTTCTTTCTCTCTCTCTCTCTCCTTTATAGCTAGATAAAATAGAAGGTGTGTTTGAGAGGCCAAATGATGACGTCATTCGGGCAATCTCGAAGACACTGAGGCAAGCCCTGGGTGTTTCTCTCTTTGGGATTGACATCATCATTAACAACCAGACTGGTCAGCATGCTGTCATCGATATAAATGCATTCCCAGGTAAGAACAGGCTGCTACATAGCGTATGAGAGCATCTGCAAACATTACGATGGATGTGGAAAATACAGGTGATTTCACTACCACCTTCTGCAGCAAATGTATAATGGGTTGGTACCCATTGCAGGGGTCTCATTCGCCCAAAGACTTCCGCTGCACAAGGGCACTTGCCTTTCCTCTCCCCACCCCAAATCTGCTGTGACGTGTTGGGGGGGACCCAGAACAGATTTGGGGGATGCACGAGAGGAGAGGGAGGGGAAGTTTTGTTGCACAACAGAAGTCCTTTTGTCAACAGGACGACTTTGTTGGACATCACATGTGCGTACAGATACTTCTTTAACACCAGCATATACGTTTCTGGAAAGCGACCCAATCAGCTTCCCCAGTCATGCTTATACTTGCATGTAATGTCCATGCACTTTGTGATTTTGCAGGAAACAGTGGAGCAGCACTCACCTTCCCTGCAATGTTCCTACTATGATGGCGGGAGGTTGAGAGGGAAAACTTGGACAGCAGTAAACTAGAAACCGGAGTTTCATTGATAATGAGAAATTGGTGTTATGAATTGAAATCTCTTAACCACGACAAAAACCAATATTCAGGATATGTTTCCTGTATTTAGATTAACATTTCTTGCTAAGTATAGCACCTAAAAATATCCAGGTTTCCCCTACTTTATCCCATGTTTGCTTTATTCTGTCATGAGGATTTATCATTCTCTGGAAAAGAATTTCACTTTAAAATATTGCAGCTAGGAACATGGTAGGTTTGCTTTGCTTTATGGCACTCGATGTCATCACCTCTAGAGAGGAAATGTGCTTTTTGCCCTTCCTTCCACAATCAGACACTTGGGGGCTGTTCCAGCTTAGATGTTTTAGTGCTTAAAGTGCTCTAAAGACACTTTACTGCTCTCCCCTCCTCCAGTCACGTTGTGATCTGTATGAAAATCCATACTGCATACTATTTATCTCCTTGTACTCATTTTCAAATGTATTCTATCCTTAAAAGTGCCTTTTAGGATGTTTTATAAGCTGAGAACCATATCCAGATTTCAGAAAACTGCGAGATCCAAAGAATAATTATATATTTGCTCTGAAAGGTAGGAAATAGTTCAGATTGCTTAAAATTGCAGACCTAGTGAAATGCTCCTCCATCACTTGGTAGGAGGTCTGAATTATACAAGAAGAAAGAAAGAAAGAAAGAAAGAAAGAAAGAAAGAAAGAAGGAAGGAAGGAAGGAAGGAAGGAAGGAAGGAAGGAAGGAAGGAAGGAAGGAAGATTTGTGAATTAGAATCCCTATTTCATCAGGAACTTTCCTTGAGAGAATGGAAAAGGATGTAGGAATACTTCGGTTCAGTTCCATGTGTGAATGTATCAGGAATGGGTTAAGGGACAACTAAGCTAGGTAACTGATTTCTTCTCCCATGCTTCTGGAGGGAAGTTCTAGAGAACTAAACCCTTGAGCCATGCAAGAGAAGCACCTATGCTCCTCAAACTCAGAAAACACAAAGCCATCTTGATAGGAAGGGGGAGATGGTAGTCAATGTTCAAATGTACCAATGTGACTTCTCACAGACAACATAACACTTCCTCTTACTAATTAGGCCCCTGCTTCATCTTCTCTCACAACACAGAGAGGGAAAGGGAACAAGATCTGGCCCAGGAATATAGTTGCAAATGCCAGTTCCTAGTAAATGAGTGGATTATCTTTGCTCACACTGGCAGGGAATATAATCATGGTCCCACCGTGGACCTTTTGGCTTGGGTCGTTCTGGGTGCATCATGGTTAGGAATGGATCTTGAGCACTGTCTGCCCTCCTCAATATTCCTAACAACGGCCTGCATAGTATGGTTTCACCAAAGGGGTAAAAAACTGGTCCAAGAGCCTTAGGTTAACTCTCTTGCCCTCTCTTGCACCCAGGGCTTGCCTCTTGCCCTCTCTTTGGCGAGTAAAGGAATCACAAGGTGAATTAAGGGTTGTAATTTAAGGACACGATGGAGAACAAAACCACCTGAGCATGCAAACCCAAGTGATAGTCTTCTGCTGTATGCTTTTAGGAGTATAGCTTAGAATTCGACTGTTACATTCCCACAAAAAAGGATCACTTTTTTTTAAGGAGGGGATTTTATTAGTTTTCGATTCAAAAGGAGCTAGTCTAATAGGAAGACATCCATGCCTGACTGTTCCTCTTTCGCATTCCCTTTTCAGGTTATGAGGGTGTCTCGGAGTTCTTCACAGACCTCCTGAATCACATAGCTACCGTCCTGCAGGGGCAATCACCGGAGGTGTCGCAGCTAAGTCGCAGCAAGCACCTGACAGAGCAGAGCAACAGCCTAGCGGGAGAGCGGACATGCTGTGCTAGCATGGGCTGCCGGAGCCTGGCGGGCAAAGACTCCTGGATTGTGGAGAACGAGACCAACAGCTCCGTGAAGCTTCAGCACCAGAGACTAGGCTGCAACTCCGCAGTGTCTCCTAGCTTCCAACAACACTGCGTTGCTACGTTGGCAACAAAAGCTTCCTCTCAATAACCCAATCAGTGCCATGGACTAAGAAAAAACTCTGTAGGCCCCAGGATCAGAACAGGATGGTTGGTAATGCAACTACGAAACAAATCTCTCTCGGTTCAGCGTGATTTTGGGAATGAAAAACAAAATTAGTGATCTGGGTCCACTTCATCAGATTCCTATTGTAGATTTGTAGTGAGTTTACACATACGTACTTGTGTGTGTGTGTATGTGTGTGTGTGTGTCTTAAACACTAGATCTTAATGTTGGAGGGTGGGGTCTCTGTCCCCCCACTCCTTTCCTCTTTGTGATTATTAATGACCAGAATTTCAAGGATGAACTTCACAGAATCGATAAGGATTGTATTTGAAAATTTGCACATGCCAGTTCTTCTTCGTGACTCCTTCCCAGACCAGTCCAAAGAGTTAAGCACGAATGTCCATGGGTGCTTTTAAAGGATTCGGGACTAGGGCACAACCTACATGCCCAGAATTAGTTTTGGTTTGGTGGACGCTAATGTTAGGGCCAGTTGCAAAATGTTCCCCCTTCTCTCATAAGAAAATTATGTACTTGGCAAGTGTGAACAGTCTGTTTTCCCAGTACATTTCTTATTGGCGTAGGTCGACGCAACACTGCCATTTGTTCCTTTGGCGTATATGAACGTTGCTGTATTTGGCACAGGAGTAATCCGGGACAATCCTTTTCAACCAGGCCTTTTTAAATTTTCTTGCTGCTTTGCTGATCCTGAGACTGCAAAGGGTCAACTAGTTTTGTGACCACTACTCCCCATTATTCGGTTTACTCAACAGGCAGAACTTGTACAAAAAACAACAACGGGTGGCAACTTTCATTACACTACCCACCCAATCACGCTTTGTGTTTGGTTGTCTCTCTTTCTCTCCTCAGCTCCTCTCGTTGTCACCGGAATAGCGTCATTAGGGCAATGTTATAGAATCTATAACTTATTTCACAGCCTGCTTATACCTTAGGACCTGGTTGCAAAGCAAAAGTGCACCTTAAACTCTTTCAGCACACAGTTCCTTTCAACGCACCATCTCCTGCCAGAAATTTTGTCCGCCTTTGTCCAGTTCCGAATCTTAAACCAAAATTAATGGAGCTGGCCAGGATGTTGAGATGGCATTGTTGGTGAGATTGCGGGCTTCTTCCTTTTTGAAACAACCACTAAGTCGTTTAATTAAGGAAACACTAGTAAGGTCTTATATCGGGCTTAGATACCAGTGGAGCGAGTGAACATTTACATGGATTGTAGCTCCGTAGGCCAGTTCACACATGGTGAGTGCATGGTAAGGGGATATGTGTGCATGCAAGCCAGCCTGTGGCCCAGGCTGTACATGTCTTTTCTCTCCCAGCACACATGGTTTTCAGGGGAACGGAGCATGTCCATCATTCATGTCTGCCAGCCACTTCACATGTCACACGTTGCTTTGATGTACTGTTAACGCTAAAAGAATATGAACTGTCCTTAAGGACCCCCCCCATTGGTCCCAAGAATGTTTGGATATGCAATAAAGAAAGAGTAACAGGGAGCAATTGATGAATTTTGGGGCATGGGAAGAGCCAGAGTGGGAGAATGACCACACACATTTTGGAGACTTGACAAGTGTTTACCCTGCCCAACCTTAGGGGTGTGTTTTTTGGAGAAAGGTTTGTAAGTGTTGGTATTAGAGGGCAGCAGGGGGTGGGTTGGGGAGAGAGTGCTAACTTTACTTATATGTTTGCGTTTCATTTATAAACTCCGTTATAGAACGCCACAAGAAAGTAATTAACTTAATTAGCCACCCCACACCCTCTGAAAGAGGCTAACCTTTGTAAACTATTTTCCACAAGAGACTGCTAGCGCTTTCCGTACGAAATTTAGGCCACAGCAATCCTAAATAACTATCTTCCTCCCATGTCGGCCGTTGTGGAGGCATCAAAACAAATTGTACGGATTTGCCTGTGCATTTTTTAAAAACATGCATTTGGGGCGGGAGTGAAAAGTAGGTCAAACGTAGATTTTCTTCCTGTTGCAGGAAGCCTTTTCAAAGTTTGTGATGTAAAAAAAATAAATGAATGCAAACAGAACGTATTTCTCCAAAACCCCTTTAATCTTGGTGAGAAGCATCACTGAAAGCAACTGATTGTCCCCTCCTTCTCTGCCTGTAATGTTCAGTAATACGAGGTTTGTGATGTTATCATGTTGAGTGTTGCAAACCCTGTGCCACCTCATTTGCTGCTGTTGACATGAGTCGGGAAACCAGCAATGTGATGTACTGTCACAAATTTTGCTTTACTTACCATTATGGGCTGTGAGCAGCAGGAAGAGTCATGGGTTCTTGCCACAGAGGTCCTCAGGGAGCAAGCAGTCTACCATGATATATATCATGGTACTGTGGCATCACTGGCTTACAGAGCATTTTTAATTATTACTTGCCCCCACCTTTAAAAAAAAAATGAAGTGGCAATATTAAATTTAAGTTAAGGGGTGAGCAAGCTGGAAGAAGAGTCTATTTGGTCTGGTTTAGTAATGGGGAAACATTTCAAAACTAACAATGTTTACATGAATCTGAGTATTGGATCCAATTACAGTGTATTTATGCTGTTTGCTAGATTTAATAATAAGCAAGGAATTATTTTCGCGGCTGCCTTCTAAATTGTGGTTGGCCTATTTTGCACTGCTTCATTTCTCCAAAATAAACTACTGAAATATAATTGTGCATTTTAATATTTGTTTTAAAATGATTATTTAATACATTTTGTAATTTCTTTGAAGTTTTAACACAAAAATACAGTCCAAATCTTGAATACCAATAGAACCTAACTTAAGTTTCATAGCCAAATAGGTTACCAGCCTCTTTCCTCCCATGGCTATAACTGAAGTTTATTGAAGTTTCATATCCTACAAATATTCTGTAACAAGATGGTATTAACAACTGGCTTGATCAGCAAGTAAGTTGTAGTTCTGTTAGTATGACATTTGCCTGTCAGTATCTTGGGTCAAACTAAGGATGGTGGATCAGTCCAACTCTGGTCTGTGTCAATTTCACACATGTTCATTCATAAGCCTGTTCCCATGTCCGCATGAATCAATGATTTTTGTTTTAAACCACACAAGAATTATTTTTAAATATGTATTTTATCACAAAATACATATTTGAACATGTCTTTTACATCAGTGTGTGTGTGCATTTCTAAACTTACATAATACTAAAATACACTTAAAAAAAAAGCATTTTCATATATTTTTTGAGCTGAGATCTCTTATCTCAAAATCTGGAGAAATGCAAACTCCAAAGGATAACCAGTTTGCAGTGGATTCCGCAGAAGAAAATGAATTCTTCAGGCTTCTCTGCATCAGTCTTTCCATATGGCATGAGTAAGGAATGCAACTAATTCACACAAGTGCTGGGGAAGTAAGGGTGTGCTGTTGCAAATTGCAGAGCAATGAGCAAATGTTATTAAAAAATAAAGCTACATCAGTATAAAATGAACTTTTCATCTATGGGCCAAAGGAGCATCAAAACTCTTGAACCCATATTTGAGGTGCTTCCAGATTTTAGTTTCCAGTGCCACTTTTGGGTGTGTGCTGAACAGTCTGAAAGTATGCGTGATATTCCTTGTCATACATAGGGTGAAAACAGCTGTACATTTTTCTGTCTTATGGAAAACACACACACCTTATTGGGGCACCGTTTTTACTGAATGCATAAGCAAATGTGAGTGGGAGCTTGCTGTCCCACTCCAGCATATAACCAGGGATCTAAATGCTGAAAATGATTGGTAGAGGAGGCTCCCCGCTGCAGATTTTGCTTGTGGAGTGCTCTAAACACTGTAATTGTGATGCTTTGGAAGGGGTACAGTTTGGCAGCATGCACTGAGTCACTTGTTTCTTTATTCTTTATGCACAGAGAGAACTAATGCCTGAATAGGGCTATCGTCCTGCAGGTTTTCCTTGTTCAGTTGGAACAAGGAAAGGCCAGTGTTGGTTACCTATTGGCTAGCACCAGAGCTGTCATGGATACACCCAAGCCCTGGAACAGTCTTGTTACTGAGTAAGGGGGGAACTGTTTTTGTTTTGCTACTGTTCTTCAAACATTTGTAAATTTGGGGAGGGGGGAACTTACGCATTTATGCATAAATGTTGCTTTAATTTAAAATGAAAGGCAATCACAGCCACCATTGGGACAGGACCAAGGGTTAACACATATACCTTTGGCAAGGAGAACAGCTAACTGAACGGCTGCTGCTGCTGTTCAGTAGATACATCTTTAACAGAAGTTGCAAAGAATTCTCGGACTGTCTGAGAATGTTAATGTTTGTGTGCACTTAGCAATGTCACGCTTAAAATAAGGCCCTGTCAGAAGGCAGCCACTGGGCTTTTTTTGTATTACAGAAACAGGTGCTTTGCCCATCCTTGTATGAACAGAAAGAAGACATTCACGCTAGTGTTTTGTGTACATATGGATTGACAGATTTCAGAGTGCACTTGGGCATAAATCCACAGCCCATTCAGCTTCGCCCCCCCAGTTCTGAAAAGCCCTTCCTTCTAGAAATAAACGTATATAAAACCTAGCTCTTTCAGTGTGAATGTAATGCCATTGCCATGAGCGCTGCCATGCTCTCCCAGTAGTGTGCAAAATAAGTCAAGAGTAAAGAATTTCTCAGAATCTGCTGTAATGTTATAGCCTAATTTATGTAAATTATTCATGGCACTGAACTGTACTTTAAAGAAATCAGCCATTGGAGTTACATGGGGCTACGTTATCCATATACCTGATTTATTATTATTGTCGTGGCTGACTTAAAACTACAAGAGTTTACCCCTCTGTTATCCCCCATGCACCCATCACACCCTGGTTGACACTTGATTTCAAAAGCATTCTTGTGTGATTGGAAAATGTTGTCAAATGGTGGTGGATGCTGGCCATTTAATCAATAAAAACTACGTCTGTCATCTGTCTTGGTTGGTTTAATCATGAGTTTTAGTTCATTGGTTCTTAATTAAATCAGTCAATTTGCAGATTTAAAAAAAGCGTGTTGCTGATAATTCCACGGTAATGGGTTTGATACCTATATGGGTGCATTTTCCTGCATTGCAGGGGGTTGGGCTAGACGATTTGTAGGGTCCTTTCCATGATTCTATCATTCCACCTATCAAAAAAGCTTTATTTTTAATTAATCATGCATGTGTGCATCAGGCATCAGTTTAGACGAGACATTCCTAATTTCTTAAGAGAAGGAATTCTTCTCTTATTACTATGCTTTCAATCTGCAATTTTAACTACTTGTATTAAAAATATTGGGGGTATCTTAGTCAAGCAAAATGTTACTTCATTGGGCAGGTAAATAATTTAACCTTGCAGCTCTAATATTAAAACTCAGCTTTTATGAGGCGCTGTCGCTTTTTAAAGAAACATAATTTCTACATAACAACCTGTAGCACGACTTGAGCGCTGCTATTTCAAAGCCGCTGAGCCTTTTCTTGCTGCTTTTTTAGCCCCTGTGATCAAAAGCTCACGTTTGACCAACAGTTCCTGTTCTTAGTAATATCCATATGAACTTTCCTTCTTTCACCCAGGGCTTGTGTCCAATACCTAGAGAGCATGGATCTAAGACGTTTCCTACTCGCCCAGCCCTTTCTAGTCATGGGTCTGAACAGTTTCTCCCCTTGCCCTGCTCCTTTCCCAGGGAAAACCCATGCTAAATCGGAGCAAACATCAATCGGGAGAAGACCAAAATTGCCATTTGCTCCGACTGAGCGCTAAAGAGCAGTTTTCCCTGGAGGAGAGCAGCAAACAGGTCATGCGCTAAAACTCTTCTGGACTGGACTGCTTCAGGCAGCAGGTTTGTAGGTACTTAGAAAGCCAGAATATTAGGGGGCTGCCTAGGTGAAAATCCCTTTCGCTGACACCTCCCTGCCTGCCTGGAAGCGTTCTGTTTTTTATATGGCAGAGCACTCAGTGAAGCAAACTCACCTGCCACCTAAATTGGAACAGTCCAGGAACAATAACATTGTTTTGTGGCACCTCAAACACTACTAAATATATAGGGGTGCAAGTTTTCTTAGGCTAGAGCCTGTGTTTGCTAGATACATCAGAGAGTCCCATCCCTTGGATCTGCTGTTTTTTGTACACTGGGCTTAACAGCATAATTGACTTATGGATGACTTGAAAATCAAACTCTTGAGTGTTTATTAATTCAGTTTAATTCCTGCCTTTAAAAAAAAAAAGGCGGAAAAAAGGCTTGTCTTAATTTCTAATGAGCAAAGCTAGTGAAATTTCTGTGTGTTGGTGTGTGTGGTGGGGAGAGGAATCCCGTCTTCCTTTTTAGCATTTCACGTTTCTCTTCCCCTGCTTGCACAGTAACTTCCTGATACAACATTTCAGGGTGTGAAGAGATTTGTGTAGTATCTGAACCTTGCAAATATGTAAGTATAAAATAGTGACTTCTATATTTGAGGCTGTATATGAATGATAAGAGGTGTTCATCTCTTTTGTAAAGAAAAGAAAAGTCTGCTGTAAAAATGAAAATCTATACTAGATGTATTTTAAAAATTATTTATTTCTTTAGATCCCTGCCTTCCTCAGTGTTTATAAACGTGGCTCAAGTGCACCCTTTCGAGTGAGATCCCCAATAAAGACCCCATTAAACTGGACTAATCTTTGCCAGTAATTGGGATTTCACATCTTTTGTTTGATGAATCAGGAATTGTTGTGGGTTTTGGTTTTTTAAGGCATGCTTGACATTCAGTGTTCCCAGTTCCAAGCTCGCCTCATTCGGGACCATCTTCCTCCTCCCAAGGTTGCAAAAGAACATTCATATTTCTCTGCCACTTTCTGTAGTGTTAGCAAGTGTGAGTGTTGTGATTGTTATGTTCCCATTCACAAAATTACTTTCATTAAAAACTAAATGGTTTTGTATTTAATTTGAATATGTATATATTATATATACATACATACATGTTAGATAGATAGATAGATAGATAGATAGATAGATAGATAGATAGATAGATAGATGATAGATTAGATATAAGAAAAACATCTGGGCTTCTTTAAAAACCAAAAATATTAGCTCCATGGCTTTTTTACATGTACTGCATGTCTGACATTCTTCTCAATAATATGGTGCTTCTCAACTCTTGCTTATGTTGTTGATTTCAATAGCAGTTTATCCCATTTTTGTCTTTATTTGCCAAACACCTGTGACAGATTTTTTTTTTTTTTAACGAGAGTAAAATGCACTTAAGTATCACCTGTTGTTTCTGTGTCTGCTTTGGGTACAACACTGTCCTTTTCCAAACACATGATTAAAATAAATGCCTTATTAAACCACCTTCTCCTGCACTCTTTTTAATGATTCAAGATAGCTGGGTTGGGGTTCGGGGCCTGGGTGAGATTTTATTCCATAAGGCTGGTCTTTTTTAAAAAAAGCACACAACAACTTTCATATCCAGATTTACAATCCCAGTGCAATTTACCGTATTTTTTGCTTTATAAGACTCACTTTTTCCCTCCTAAAAAGTAAGGGGAAATGTGTGTGCATCTTATGGAGCGAATGCAGGCTGCGCAGCTATCACAGAAGCCAGAACACCAAGAGGGATTGCTGCTTTCACTGCGCAGCGATTCCTCTTGCTGTTCTGGCTTCTGAGATTCAGAATATTTTTTTCCTTGTTTTCTTCCTCCAAAAACTAGGTGCGTCTTGTGGTCTGGTGCGTCTTATAGAGCGAAAAATATGGTAAATTGCACATATTCTAACCTGCTGCTTTGAAGAGTTCCAGGTCCTGGCTGGCCTGATATCTCACCCTGAAGAGCATTTCCTCTTAGGAGGACAAATCTTTCTTCCACTTGGGTAGCCCTTTCCTTTTGCCTGCCTCTCAAAGTCAGTGCATCACAAAGAGCTGGGCCTGCGTGGTGGAAGCGAAGCCTCTCCTGCTCCTGACTTGCTCTCCAGCAACTGTGACCCCCCCCCCGAGACCACTGGGTATAGGGCGGTATATAAATTCAGTAAATAATAATATGAGGAGGCCATGGAGAGGCAACAAGATGTTCCCTTGCCGCCGCCTCTCAGACAAGGGCTGGCTCATCATTCTCCCCGACCTCAGCAGCAACACTGGCAGGGGAAATAGGGTCATTCTGGGATAAAATCGGAAGCGGAATGGCAAGTCTAGTTTTCTCCCCATTTCTCCAACTGCACTTGGTGTGTGTGTGCATTTGCGTGCTAAAAGAAACCCGCCTTGAACTGAGGATGAATAGCAATAGCACGGAGTACATTTGACATCAAATTTCATGGAAATGAACAGCACACTTAACCACACCATGTACTGTGCCCGTGTCTTGTATGCCCCACTGTTCATGAGATAATGCTAAAAAAACTCTGCCCCCACGATGATGTGCAGATCATGTAATAAGCTGCACAGGATCTTGCCTTCCGAACGCAGCATACTTTTGTATTTTTATATTGTATTTCTTTTACAGTGGTACCTTGGGTTAAGTACTTAATTAATTCCGGAGGTCCGTTCTTAACCTGAAACTGTTCTTAACCTGAAGCAGCACTTTAGCTAATGGGGCCTCCCGCTGCCGCTGTGCCGCTGGAGCCCAATTTATGTTCTTATCCTGAAGCAAAGTTCTTAACCTGAAGCACTATTTCTGGGTTAGCGGAGCCTGTAACCTGAAGCGTATGTAACCTGAAGCGTATGTAACCCGAGGTACCACTGTAGTTATATTGTAAAAGAAATACAAGTACAATATATTTCACTCAAGTTGCCCCCGCCCCAGAGATCTACATACTTGAGAAGCACTGCTCTGGGGGTTCTTAGAATGCAGCTGTGAGAGACGAAGGAAGGAGCCCAACGTTGCGTGTTTATTTTTGTCCTTAATTTTTATATAGAATATATTACAGTCAGAATTCTCATCTTTGAATCAAAAGATTAACAAGTTATTGCAAGTTCTTTTATCCAGTAAAACCTAATGGTACAAGTTAAACATTCTAGAAAGCTGTCATGGCTTTTTCTTTTAAAAAAAGAAATGGACAAAAAGGAAAAGGAAAAAAGTAAGGTGGGAAATGTCAAAACGATCCCTTTTAATCAACAGAAAATACATGAGTAAGCCATACTGCTTGTGATCCTGTAATCCAAAAGTTACAAGCCAGTAAAGGAAGCATGAAATCAAACAACAAGCAAATGTGAATGGAAAGCATTGCTACCATAGAGAGAGAAATCGATGTTGTTGTTTTTCTAGTGATAATTGGCTTCCTATGCAAAATGCACTTTCTCCATTATTATTACTTTCATCTTTTTAAAAAACAAAAACCACACACAGAGACATTAAATTGCAGTGTTTAAAGGGTGAGTTAAAATTTCTGGCTTCTTGCTCACGGCGTGTGTTATAAAAGTGTCAACCCCTTCGCAGGGCATGCAGCTTGTGGGCCACTTTCTCCAGCTCCGCTTCTATTGCTGCCAAACTCTCCAGTTCTTGGTCCTATAAAAGAAAAGGTGGGAAACACAGCACATGAAGGGTTATTTCAGGGCTGGAAGAGATTGTTTCACAGCTGTGAAACTCTGCAGAGAGAACTATCTGCTTTTAGAGTGGCTCTAAAGACTTTGAAAAAAAATATATAAGAATGTATTTTGCAATGGACTGCCCTTTTTTTGCTGGATTCTTGGGTTTTACATGCACTTACTGCACAAGTAGTTTGCTTGTTTTTACTAAGTCTGTATCCTTTTTATAAACCACTTTGTAACTATTTTAATTTTAATTAAACATTTTAACTTAATTATTAAAAATATTTGATTTAATATAATTTATTATAACAAATTAATACATTAATTTAATTTAAACACTTAAAATTAAAAAAAAATTAAATGGGGGAATGAACTGAAAGGCCTGCTCTTTGATATATTCAGCATTAAATTAAATCTGGAGTCAGCCATCAGCAGAACCAATAGTGCATGTCATTCTTGCCTATGTCGGGTCTTTATCCTGCCTGATCCTATGAGCTACTGTGCCTGCACTTGATATAACAAGAATGGGGAACTTGCAACTCTCCAGGTGTTATTGGACTCCACCTCCCAATATTCCCAATCAGCATGGCCAATAGTCAAGGATGATGGGAATTGTTATCCAACAGCATTGGAGGATCACAGGTTCCCCATCCCTGAACAACAGCAATGGTATTATTTAAATAACAGCCCTAAAGGCTGTTATATGTCTCTGGATAATATCAGTGAGTTGGCTAGAAATATATGTTAGCTGCTGAGGAACTCAACCCTACCCATTTAACGAAAGTGCTTAGAATATCCTGGAGAGCAGCCAGTTAATGTAACCGAAAGGAAGACTTTGTAGCATCACAGGAGACACTTTGTTTGTGGAACAAAATGGCCATTTTCTGTTCTTTTGCAAGAACATTCAAAGAAGTGTGAATTTCAAGAAGTTAGCTGTGTAAGGTGAACTGCGCCAAATTTCTCCATCTCTACTAAGTCTCCCTCCCAAATGTCCCGTGGTCCTGGTGAAAATCCAAACGCCTAGAGAGAAAACAGCTGTCGCCGCATGCTGTGCATTAAGCACAATGAGTATTTTGACACCAAGGTCGCTCGCAGTTTCTCACGACACCACTTGCACCCCTAAGGGGGCTGAGAAGTTTACCCTGACAAAGAGATGTGTGCCGTGTGGTCTCAGAGGATTGATCGCTGAAAACGATCAAGGGTTGCAAAATGTTTTGCCGTGAGTTGCAAGCCAGGTAACTGTTGTTAATGTATCTGTGTGTGTGTGTACACACGCTTCTCTTATGTGTTTGAACAATCTCACTGGTATCACATTTCTTTCTCCTCCTAATGAACATGGGCAGGTGTGCTGTTCTTTCCCCCCTCTCTCTCCCTTACTTTTTGCTGAGCTGGCGATGAGGGCTTTTGCTCTGCTACTGGCACCTGAGCAACCGTCGTCATGGTTTTCTGGTGGCCTCCCTGGTGTCTCATCAGTGTCTTGGCAATTCCCTGAAAACACAGTGATTTTTGTCTGTGTGTGCATGCATCCCGAACAACAAGGCAGTGTGGAGCTGCGGATCAGTCACGGGGAACCTTGAACCTTCTAGATGTTGCTGAACAACAACTCACATCAGCCACAGCAAGCATGGAGTGATGGGTGTTGCCATTTGGCAACATCTTGGGCAGGGCCAAAGATTCCCCCATCTGCTGTAGATGGAAGAAAGGGAATAGCCTCTCAGTTTGGTGGCCAAGTAAGTTGGCCTCTTTCTGCTGGCTATTAGGGATCCCAGTTATCAGACGCAAAGCAATACAAAGGGAGCTCAGGTACCTTCTTTGCAGAAGGGATTTTGGTGATCCAGATTGCCATGCAAGGATGAGATACACCAGCTGAGGCTCCTTCCTGCCACTCAATCAGGCTACAGTAGAGGCGGAAAGGGGCTCACAGGCCTTTTGCATGGGCTTAGCTAAGAGACCAGCAACTTTTGAGTCCTCTCCTCAATCTCTTTTCAAAGATTTGGTCATTGAAAGCTGGTCATTGCAAGAATTCTGTAACAAGTGTTCCCATCCTCCCTTTCCTTTGGTAAAGGTGAAGGTAGAGGGACCCCTGACCATTAGGTCCAGTTGCGGACGACTCTGGGGTTGCGGCGCTCATCTCGCTTTATTGGCCAGGGGAGCCGCCGTACAGCTTCCAGGTCATGTGGCCAGCAAACCAGAGCAGCGCACGGAAACGCCATTTACCTTCCCGCCGGAGCGGTACCTATTTATCTACTTGCACTTTGATGTGCTTTTGAACTGCTAGGTTGGCAGGAGCTAGGACCGAGCAACGGAAGCTCACCCTGTCATGGGGATTCGAACCGCCAACCTTCTGATTGGCAAGTCCTAGGCTCTGTGGTTTAACCCACAGCGCCACCTGCGTTTCCTTTGGAGTCATGCCTTTTTGGTTGTAAACCTGAGTGCAGGGACTGTCTTATTGTTGGCATTTGTAAGCTACTCTGGCTGAAAAGCAGGGTAAAGATGCTTAAAATCAATTGATCAGTGTTGCACTTTCAGAAACCTCAATTCTGCATTGCTAACAGTACAGGAGAACAGGCCCCCACTTCTACTAGGGATGCAGCTCTGACCAAAGGGAGACGGTTTGGGAAATAGGGAGTTTGAGGAAGGCACCTCCAGAGTCAGGGGCAATGTGCCTCTCAGTACCAGTTGCTGGGGATCACATGTGCTTCAGGTCCTGTTTGTTGGCTTCCCATAGGTAACTGGTTGGCCACTTTGAGAACTAAATAAGCCTTTGGCCTAATCCAGCTGGCCCTTATGTTCTTGCTCTGACAGGCTTTTGTGCCTGCTAAGTATCTACTTCAAAGGTGAAGTATTTCTGCTGTTGCAATTTTTTATGTTTCACATATCTTTAAAGATAAATATATCTTTAACTGTACTTTATGACATAACGATTTTAAATGGCGAGGTCCGCCTTCCAGGGTAGCTCACAGGCACTAAAAGCCCTAGGTAGAAATGCATATGAATATTTGTAAATAAAGTAAGAGCTGCCATGAGTCTCCCAGAAAGTGTCTTCTCCAAAGGAAGCCCAGGCCCAAGCAGCACTGCCCCTGGAGTGTGTGACAAAATAGCTATTGTAAGAAGCAATTTCCTAAGCCAGAAAACTCACTCCATCCTCTTCTAGAACTCAACACACCCAGGCAGCATATACACAAAAATCCTGGGAACTGTAGTTTACTCCCCTCCCCACAAAGCTATAATTCCCAGCACCCTTAAACAACACTTCCCAGGATTCTTTGGGGCAAGCCACGTGCTTCAGTCACATGGTGTGTATGCAGCCCCATTCTCAGACTGGTCATTGCAGATAGGGAAATCTTACCTCTGTTCTCCTGTTAGCACTTCCTTCTTCATCCTTCTTTTCCTCAGGCAGAGCGGCAAGTGGGAAGGCTCCTTCGCTGCTCTCCTCTTTGGAATGATGCTTCTGCGCTCTCCTCATGTCCTCTTCAGAGGTACGGAAGTCCTGCTTGCGGGATCTGAGAGCCAGTTTCATGGACCTGTCTGGGTCTTCGTTGCTCTCGCTTTCCTCCGCCCTCTTCGTAGTGCTCAGTTGTTTAGACAGCTCATCCATTTTGTTCCATCTCTTGGCATCTTCTAAACCTTTGGAGGGGTCCTCTTCCACTTCCTCACTTTCAGCATCCCTGGCGCGGGAGGTGTCATCATCCTGCATTGTTTCATCTCGAGACGTGTGATGCCTTCCTCCCTTTGTACTACGGAATTTCTCTTGTTCTTCTGAAGGCTGTCCATCCCGATCAAACTCTTTAGCATCTTGGTTATCTAAAAGGAAATTGAACAAAATGGACATAGTTTAATGGTTTGCTTTGGCTAAATAAAATGCAGGTCATACATAGGAGTATAAAGCAATAGACGCCTACTGGCCATGGTGACTATACTGATCATGGAGCCTCCCTAAACACCTTTCTGAAGGTTGGCTGTTGGCCTTCATCTCCTTCATTTCCATGTCTAGCAACCAACACACCTTAGGGTAGGAAAAGGATGGAGCTCTGCCCCGTTTCACACGCCTGAAAGGAATGGATCGAGAGCGGATATAGACCTAGAGCAGAGAGCACAAACAGCCCAGCTCTTCCATTCAAATCCCCTCCATTACTTGAATGTTTGGGTGATTTACTTGAAAGATTTAATGGTGTTTCCTTCCAGTTAAGTGCATTTAGGATTGAAGAACAGGGGAACAGTCTTCCTTGCCGCTGCAAGAAGCGTCCAAACATATAGGGCATTATCCAACCAACTCATTCCGTCATTGCAAGGATTTCAGCTCATGCAATGGAACTTTCCCCCCTTCCTCTCTCCACACTCTCCCCAGATCTACTCTTGGGGGGGTTGGGGAAAGCCCCAGGATAGATAGAGCATGGAGAGAGGGAGATGGGGGAGGTCCCATGGCACGAGCAGAAATCCTTGCCCTAATGAAACAAGTTAACTTGGGTACTGCCCATCAGTAAAATAGATCATCCAAGTATTGAAGCTCAGAGTGGTGATGTTGACTGCAACATCAGATAGTAAGTCAAATGAGGGGACATGGGTTTAAGCTGATAAACATACCATCTTCCCTTTGATCATCCTTGTCCTCTGAGCTGGTAGGACGTTCCTCTTCAGCGGCCTCTCTTTCTTCTTCTTCTTCTTCATCCTCTTCTTCCCCATCCTTCTCTTCCTCCTCTTCCTCCTCCTCTTCCTCCTCAGCCTGGTCTCTGACACTGTCCTCTCCTTCCTCTTCGCTTTCCTCCTGGCTGTTTTTGGAAATGTGCCCCTTTTCCTCCCCCTCCACCCCCACCACCTCATCGTCTTCCTTTCTCTCTTCCTCTTCTTCACCCTCTTGGCGTCTCTGCTGAGGGGCCTCATCGTCTTGGGCCTCATCGTGGATGTGATTGTCTACTGTGTTGTCCCAGGGCAGTCCTTCCGTCTCGCCAACCTCGTTGCCGTCAAATCCTGCCGCGTTCTCCTTTTGCTCTTCAGAGTCAACATCTCTAGCCCTCGTCTCCCTTTCTTCTACGCTGTTCCTCTCCTCTTCCTTTGAAACATCCCTTTCGCTGTTCTTCTGACTTCTCTCTGCCTCCAGCTCGGCAAAGGAGGCCGTAGGCTCCTCATCAGGGTTCCCCTCTGACAGATCTGAGAGGCGAAATGGTAGAGTTAAGCGGGAATTGGGCTGTGCTACAAAATGCACAGTAGAAACCGGCCCCAATTCATAACCAAACCCTTGAATGTTTCATGTGAGTCAAGCAGTTGCACTTACTTTACTGAGGCAAAGGGTCTTTCCCCAAAACGTGGAACAGTGTTGTTGGTTTTTTGCCAATTAATTTTAATTGAGTTTCAAAAAAATTAACAAATTAACAACAAATCAATTCAAATTTAAAACAATTTTAAAAGTTGACTTCCCACCCCTTTTCCATATGTTTCTTTTTTCTCCTTTGCTGCTCACAATAAAATACTTTCCCCCCTAATTTCTATAGCTTTTCCATCCTTTCTCAATTTACCTTGGTTGTGCATGCAGTTCCTGCCTAGACTTTTGTTTAACTATAACTTTATCCAAGTTGTTCAAGTAGAGTTATTCTTCCTTTATCTATCCATATAAATCATTGATCATAATTTTAAATCGTATTTCCTCTGATACAACTCATTCATCTTGCCTTTTTGCATTAACAATAACAATTATACAATATCTTTTAACCTTAGCATTCTATTCAGACTTCATAATCCTCACCAACTCCCAGGAAGTCTCCTGATCTACCTTGTTATGCAATTTCCTTTGAACAAAACAAACCTTCAAACACAGGGGCCAAATGTGGACATCCAAGTCTCTCGAACTGGCCCTTTGAGTTCTCCCCAGGCCACACCCTTACTTGCACTGGCGTGCTTATGAACTGCTAGGTTGGCAGGAGCTGGGACACAGCAACGGGAGCTCACTCCATTGCGCGGATTTAAACCATCAACCTTCTGATCAGCAAGCCCAAGAGGCTCAGTGGTTTAGACCACAGCGCCACCCGCGTCCCTGACCTCTTTCCATGTTCCTGTTGCTTTGGCTTTCAAGGACCTCAGAAAGCTCATCTTCAAAGCCGCTGCTTTTCTTCTTCTGCTCTGTCCTTTCACTTGCTCCTGTTTTTTGCAACACAGAAGTTTTGATGAAGGGGAGATGGGGACAGGAAAGAGAGAGAGAAGGAAATCAACACTTGGCATCTCTCCTCTTTTAAAATACAAACTATCTCAAGTGCATTCATTCTCCTCGCAACAACATGGGGAAAACCTGTTGTCTAAAAGCATCCCCCCCCCCCGGAACAAAATGCATGTTATGTTAATCATAGAACTGTAGCATTGGAAGGGATTCCGAGGGTCATCTAGTCCAACCCCCTGCCTTAGGAATCTTTTGGTTAGCCAGTGGGCATCTTTCCCCCCCTTTCAAAATAGCAGCCATGGTGGGTGAGGTGGATTGGGAGGATATTTAACCATTCCCCTCCTTGCAGTCACACACACAGCATGGCTCTGAAGCTGCTATTTGCACCAGGAGGCAAATAGCAATAGGAGCTTCAAATAGCAGTGGGATGGGGAACAGACTTCCATTGGGGCTGCGATGCCCCCGCCCATGGCAGCAAGTGTGTGTGTGTGTGTAGAGGTAAAAAGGTAAAGGACCCCTGGACAGTTAAGTCTAGACAAAGGCAACTATGGGGTTGCGGCGCTAATCTCACTTTCAGGCCAAGGGAGCCGGCGTTTGTCCACAGACAGCTTTCTGGGTCATGTGGCCAGTGTGACTAAACTGCTTCTGGTGCAATGGAACACCGTGGCGTAAGCCAGAGCACACGGAAACGTCGTTTACCTTCCCGCCACAGCGGTAGCTATTTATCTACTTGCACAGGCGTGCTTTCGAACTGCTAGGTTGGCAGAAGCTGGGACAGAGCAACGGGAGCTCACTCCATTGCAGGGATTCAAACCGCTGACCTTCTGATTGGCAAGTCCAAGAGGCTCAGTGGTTTAGACCACAGCACCACCCGCTTTGCATATATTATAACATAAGAAGAGCTGCTGACTCAGCCAAATGGCCTATCTAGTCTAGCATCCCAGGTCTCAGCTACATTGGCAAAGAAAAAGTGCTTTATATGCGTTGTTTATGCATTCTAACACTGTGACACCAGATGGGGCTGTGGGGTTCCATTTTTGCTAACCCGTTTCTCATGCAAAGCTTGCAAGGTAGACCTGAGCACAGCACAAATGCAACAGGCTTTCATTGACTGTCTAGGGTAGCCTTTGCAACATGCTAGCGGCTACAAATCAGGAAGCCCTGGGCTGAAATGTGCCTTCTGCAGAACAGCTAGCTGAGAAAGCTTTTTTATGCCATTGGGAGCATAGCCATTCTTGCAAAGGCTGTCTGTAGAGAGAACTGTGTGTACTCCTCACACAAAACTGACCAATAGTCCTAACTCCAGGGCAATCTAAACCCTGCGTCAAATAACGTGAAATGCTGCGATATGAATAGATAATGCAACTCCCTTATTCTGCATAATTCTCGCTTTTTCTTAATTATTTCCATTTGGGTAAAATACAAGAAGCTGTGCATGCCTCTTAAGGGAAAGACTGGGCACTCCCCATGATTCCAGCTAAACTGTACCTTGGACTGCAATCTCCTGAAGCTCCTTTAGTAAGTTTTGATGGCGAAGAATGGAAAGGATTCTTTCATCTGCAAAGAAGAAGAAGAAGAAGCTTGTCAGGGAAGCCTGCCAAAGCCAAGGTGAGCTGGCATACTCATCATAGCTCCATTAGCACACTGGCTGGTTGAGGTTATCTTTTTGGGTTTGTTTTAAAAAAATAATCCATTATGGCAGCCCATTAAAAAAGAACACACAATTTAGTTTTATAATATTAACACATTGGACTTTTCACTAGTAAGGGAGAAAATGACGCTGTACCTCCTTGAAGAGTTTCTAGGCATTCCTGGCTGATTGGGAGTGGATTTGGCTTTGACACTATGTCAGAAATGACCTCAACGATGCAGTTCATCACCTGGAGAAACACAAATATATTGGTTTACATCCCATCCTTCTGCCAATGAACTCAGGACACTCTGGACGTGGTTCTCCTTCCCTCCCCCCATTTCATCCTCACAGAGAGGTTCATGGCTGAGTGGGGATATGAACCCAGGTCTCCCCAGCACTAATTCAACACTCCAACTATACACCTTGTGATGTCCCTCTGGATCTTGTTGGACTCCAACTCCCATCAGCCCCATGCAGCATGGCCAATGGTCAGGGATGATGGGAACTGTAGTTCAACAACATCTGGAGGGTTGCAGGTATATGGAACAGGGAAACTTGTATGGTTCCACATTTAGTCCGGCTGCATACACATGACATTATATTCTACAGTCAACACATGCTGAGATCTTGTTTCTTTTCTTTTTTTATATAATTTTTATTAAATTTTCTGTTTTACAATTTAAAATACTCCTTTTGACATCCTTAAGATATCAATGACTTCCTTTCTTCTTTCATTCTACATATCACAAATCCCTGCATATTTTATACAAACGATAGCATCCACTATTCCATTATTACACCCATCGTAACTTATTTACGCTGTTGAATTTATCTTAATGCTGCCAGTGTTTTCAACTGTACACAATTACTTCCCATATATTCAATAAACATTTTCAAGTCTTCTCTAAATGTATGTTCTTCTTGTTCTCTTATTCTATATGTTAAGTCTGCAAGCTGCGCGTATTCTGTCAACTTAAGTTGCCACTCTTCTCTGAGATCTTGTTTCTTCTACCTAGTCCACACACAATCTGGACCTAAAGCACATTTTGTGTCCCTGAAAAGCATTTCCCCCACAAACTAGCTTCACTCTGAAAATCAATGCTTGGTGCCTATTGGCTCTGCATGACACCCCCCCCCCGTGTGTCCATTTGAAACCAGATGGAGCTGGTCTCAGCAATGGCGTGGGTGGGTGCACCCATGCCTGCACAATGATGTTGTGGATGGCTGTGCACCAAGATCTAGTCCCAGACTTAGGTACAGGCTGAGCAGGCTACAGCCCAGGGCCTGATAAATGAGCAGGCCCTTAACCTCTTGCCAAAAAATAAAAATTGGCAGATTTTACTATCTAGACCAGGGGTCGGCAACGTTTAGCTCGCCTGGGCTGGTTCACTCCAGCAGAGATCCCTCTGTGGACTGGATCGTGCGTGTGCCTAAGCACATGCACTCGTGATTTCTGGCATCTGTGTCTGCGCAGGCGCAATTTCTGGCGCTGTGGAAGCGAGTCCGCATGCTGTGCTGCACCGGTTTAGCGCAGCGAGCTGGAACTCACTGAGTGGGTGGCTCGGTTCGGGGGCAGTTTGTGGGCCGGTTAAATGACCCCTGTGGGCTGCTTGTGGCCCATGGGCCTTAGGTTGCCTACCTGTGATCTAGACCCAGTTGCTTAGTAATAGTAAAGAAGAGGACTAAGTTTTGTTTCTCGTGATCAGATGCTATTGAGTTTAGGCCTCCCAAGTTTGCATGGCCTCGGGGACTCCATTTGCTTAATCCGGGCCTGCCAAGATTGCAATTTCCATTTCCTTCTTCATTCGCCATGGGCACATGCAGGGTGAGAAAGGCAGGAATAACCTAATGAAGGGGAAATCCCTGAGCTGACAGAATGCTTACATACCACTGCTTTGGATCCAATCCCCTAGTAGCAGCCTAAGCTGCTGCTAGCATCACTTAGCAAGATAACCGAGCCATAATAATAATAAAGCAATAAATGTCAACATTGTACTCTGCCTTTCAATGCAAAAGAGTCACACTGATGGGAGTCCAAAACTGCTCACGGGCACCAGGTTGGGGAAGATTGGCTAAAAGCCCTGAACACTTTAGCCTGTTCTTGCTGAGCACCACGCTTTCCAAACCAAAGTTGAAAACCATGTGTTCATATCACAATTTATCCATCATGTACAGGAGGGATTAATAGCACTGCAATATTTATGCCCTGTTTTTTAAGTCTATGCAGAGGAGCATTTCTCAATTTAGGCTGCCAGCCTATACAGATTTACTTGAGAATAGGCCCCATTGAGCTCAATGGCACATACTCCCAAGTATATTGGCATAGGATTGCATTCCTTATCATATATGGTAAGCAATAATCCACATTGACTCTCATATAAATGGCAGGGTGTGTTTATGATATTGGTGTTACTTTAAAGTTATTGCAAAGCAACCTTCTTTTCTAGAAGCAGAACACTTTTATAAACACAGCAACAGCAGGGTGTTCCAAATTTAAACCTCCTACAAGCTGCTGCAACACAAAACTAGACCATCACAGCTGCCCTTTAAATTAAAATGTGTAGGCAAATGAGTCCCAGATGCCAATAACTTCCCTTCGTCAAGCCTTGTCCAAATGTTTGTGGTTTGTAAGTGACTAACCCTTATCATCCCCGTAGAAATTTGCTTTCCCCATATTGACATTTCAGATTAAAAGGAATTTGGAAATATAACCACATGGGAAGGAACCCTTTTGCTCTCACGGTCTTCCAGCTTTCAAACCTAGTGCTCACTTAAAAAAAAAATTAAACCATGCACACACACACACACACACACACACACAAATACCCATCTTTCGCAACAACCTGAACCTCTTTTAAAACAACCCATAAATAAAAGTAATTGTTGTTTGACTTCCACATTGATGAGCTGCAGGCAGCATAGTCAATGGTCTATGAGATGGTCAATGAGAGTTGGAGCCCCAAAACATCTGTTCTCCACAAGTTCTCTATCCCTGTTTTATTGGATCTTACTGGCATTTGCCTTTATTGCATTGGGTGCTGTTTTAGTTCTTTATATTGCTTTGTGTATCCTTCTGCAGAACAGCTGCTGACCTGATGTCAGGGACTGGCAGGACACTGAGGGGTAGTGGCTGGATTCTGAGGAGTGGGCCCTGGGAGAAGGGGGGTTGGAGACCAACTTAAAGAAGGGATCAATGATCTGGGGAAGCCTGTAGCAGCCAGGAGTTAAGAGTCAGAGGCAGGAGAAGCTGCAGGATTGCAAAGTGAAGAACAGGTGGAGGGAGGGAGAGGTCAAGCTAGGGTAGAGCCTCTTCCTCCTTCTGCTTCTACCTCTCTTGCTCCACTGTCTCCCAGAACCAGAAGAGAGAGGTGCAGAAGGTTCCCTGCAGGCAGAGTCTTCACTTCCTTGCGTGGAGCTCAGATCAGGGAGATACTTAAGCCAAGGCCAGGGGCCTCTCTGTTGTGGCAACTGCCTCATCGGGTGCATACCTACGAGTGGCTGAGAGACGAAGGACTGATGGACCTGCCTTTCCCTAACTTGTAAGTGTGCTTTTGACAATGAAGAGTTAATTCCGCACTCTGGGCCTGCTAGCGCTGTGACACCCTGCAATCCTATGGCTCCCTGGGAAGTTACTTGAGGATGCATCTCATGGTGGGAAGACGTGGATCCAAAGGATCCATAGCCATCTCTGACCCCTGAGCTGCTCCCAAACCAGGGAGAAAAACACATCAGCCCAGGAGCATTGGATAAGGAGAAAGAGACCACTTTGGTCCTCATCCTCTTCCAAACCTTAGAACTGCCTCCTCCTCCCAGTTGCAGCACTGCCACCAGCCTCCTTGCAGTGTGGATGTTTTATTCATTGATAAATAATGTGCACTTCATTACATCATTTGCTCAAGGTTGCTTTTACAGCCATTAAAATAGATTTGTAAAAAATAAAAATAAATTCACAGTTCATTAAAAAAAACCAACGCACCACTTAAGCAATTTCAAGCAGCAGCAGATAGATTAATGACAGCACCTTTGTTCTCCAAAGCCATTAGCAAAGAAAAAGAAAAGGTGTGTGCTTTATACTTCTTCCTGAAGCCAAATGGGAAGTTTCACTGATCTGTTGGGTACTAATTCTGTAGTCTTACTGCACAACAGGCCATGCTCCAACCCATGGGCTGATCTTATCTCCCTGATAAAGGTAACCCAGAGCATGATCATAGAAACATAGAATTGTATATTTGGAAGGGACCACTAGGATCATCTAGTCCAACCCCCTTAAACACATGAATCTTTTGCCCAACATGGGGCTCGAATCCACAACCCTAAGATTAAGAGCTTCATGCTCTACCCACTGAGCTTTCCCAATATCAATAAAGGGGGACACATAACAAATATGTTCTTCATTCATGTTTTGCACATTTCACACAGCACCGCATATCATATTATTCTACTAGTTCTTCCTAAATACCAATGCTTTGATTTTACATTCTTCAGAGTTTTTAAAGACTAACTAATTTATTGATGCATAAGCTTTCATAGGCATCACATCTCACAGGCAAACAATGAACCCCCTTCTTCCAGGATAAAGAGCACAACAAATGTTGGAGAAAACATAGTTTCAGGGCCCAGAGCGACTTGCCTGGTGGAAGACTTGCTCTAGTTCAGAGAAAGAATGTCAATCCTGCTTGCAAATATTCTAATTTGGGGCACCATTTTGGAATTCTGCTATGTGACAAATTGCTGTGCACTTTGGGTTAGCAACTGTTGGTCCTTGAGTCAATTCCAGCTCTCAAGGCACCCTTTCCCACAGTGATGTGGTCCTTCAGATGTTGTTAGACTACAAGTCCCAGCATCCCTGACCATTGGTCATGCTGGCTAAAGCTGATGGGAGTCCAACAACATTTGGAGAGACAGAGTTTGCCCTACCCCTGCGCAATCAGTTGCTAAAGGCAAGACAGCTGTGCAGAGGGACTCCCACAATTGGATCTAGACCAAATTAGTCCCACTGAAATCAATGTGATTTGAGTAAGTCATCATTCACGTAAGCCCAATTGATTTCAGTGGGATTCAAGTGTGACTTCGCCTGGATCCAATGCACTGTGGAGAGAGGATTTCTGACACATTAGTCCCACTTCTGCTAGATGCGGGGAATATCTGGATCATTTGCAGCAGCTTGGGGGTGAGGTGTCCAACAATAACAGGAAAGGGACAGGTATGATGAGCTACATCTGCAATATCTTTTGTCACTCTGAGAAG